GTGAACTTCTCCGCTCCCCTCTGGCTCTTCCAGGAGCCATCTCTGCCTTCTGGGGGAGCTTTCTGCTGGTTTTAGGCAGTTTTTACTGAAGAAATGTCCCTGTTCTCAAATGGCGAAGCGGGATGCAGTCCCTGCGCCTCCGGTTTCAGGCACACTGTTCTGCGCACCCGGTCTGCCCCGGACGTGGGTGCCTGCTCCCTCTGTGGGCTCAGACTGCTGGTCGGAAGGGGCCTGGCGTGGAATAACTTCCCGGCTGGCCACTGCAGAAGCCTTCTGCCCTTTTCAAGCAGTCTTAAGAAATTTCCTGTTCTATGGGGTGTTAGTGACTTTTTTTTTCCTGGTCGCTAGGTGGCGCCAGAGATCTCTCCTATTGTCCTTGGGGGGCTGTTTTTCGTCCCCCCCACCCCGTGGGACAGGGAACAGAGCGGGAATGGTAGGGTACACCTCAACAGCTTTGGGGTGCTGTGTCTGCCTTGTGCCCCACCGTCGTGGAGAACCCACGCCCCGAATTTTCGTGCCCCGGGTCTCAGTTCAAAGCCCTCAGTTCCAGGACGCGGGCTGTAGCCCAGTTCAGTGGCGCGGGAATGGCGCCTTTTGCACCGCTCCCGTGCCTGGGCGCCTGGTTCCTGCTCACTCAGGGAGGGACCTTCACCTCAGTGAGGACCTCCGCGCGTCTCCCCGCAAGCCTAGGTCGTCTCCCCGCAAGCCTAGGTCGCAGGCGCGGGTACCTGGGCAGCCGCGATTCCGGTCTGCACTTGCTTTTCAAGCTCCCCGAGCGCGCCGCTTTCCCGCGCCAGCTTACCGGCAGCCCGGGCTGTGTGCGTGTCTCCCGGGGTCTTTGTTCTTCTCTAATGGCGCCCGGAGCCGTTCGCTCACCGCCGCGGCGGATCCTGCAGGGTTCGCCTCAGCTCCCGTTCACGGGGTGTGGTGGCTGCAATAGTTCCTTTCCACTCACTGTCCCGCTTGCTGCGTCGTTTGTTCTTGTTGGCCGTTTTGGTTTGTTGTTTCCTCCTCTCTGCGGGTCGGAGAGTGCCGCCTCTGTGGGCGGGGGAGGGGAGCAGGGTTCTGCGCTTCCCTCCCTTCTGGTCCTCTTTTATGGCCACTTTCTTCTTCGGGTAGTTCGCTGGCGTCACCCGTTTATCTTCCGTGTCCCGGTTCTCACTGGGACCTGCCGCTTTTCCTCCCTATTAACTTTTTTTAATGGGAGATCTTACTCGCAGCGTCTCCTCGCCGCCATGTTGCTCCGCCCCCTCCTTCTTTTTCTTTTAACAACAACTTACAGTTAGTTTTTGTTGTAATGGCCTTTTCACCTCCTTTGTTAGGTTTATTCCTAGATATTTTTTATGTGACTGTAAATGAGATTGTTTTCTTTATTTCCTTCTCATCTGCTGTGTTTTTTTTTTTTCATATCCAAATACAACAGACTTTTGTACATTGATTTTATAGCCTGCCAGTTCACTGTTGTGATTTATTGTTTTTAATAGTTTTTTAGTGGTGTTTTTAGGGCTTCCTAGTTATATTATCATGGCATTTGCAAACAGTGATAGTTTTATTCTTTTCCAATTTGGATTCATTTTATATATTTCTCTTGCCTAATTGCTCTAGCTAGGACTTCCAATACTGTGTTGACTACTACTGCTGAGAGTGGACGTTCTTGTCTTATACCTGACCTTAGAGGGAAGGCTTTCAGTTTTTCACCATTGGATATGATGTTAGCTGTGGGGTTGGCATATATAGACTTTATAGTGTTGAGGTATGTTCCTTCAATCCACCCCCCTTTTAAAGTTTCTATCATAAATGGTTGCTTAATCTTGTCAAATGCTTTCTTTGCATTTATTGATATGATCACAAGATTTCTCTCTTTCCTTTTGTTGATGTGGTGAATTACATTGATTGATTTGTGTATGCTGAACCATCCTTGGGCCCCTGGAATAAATCCTATTTGGTCCTGGGGCCTCCCTGGTGGCGCAAGGGGTTAAGCACCGCACTATGAAGCAATCCACAGCTTCTGCAGCATGAGTTCAATCCCCGGCCGGCCAGGGAGCAACCCACATGGCACAGCAGACCTCTCCAGTCTTGCCCGCTGCTCCCCTCAGCAGTGTATTTCAGTCGGTCTGCCTGTTCCATTCCCTGCTCTGTCTCTGGTGAATCCCCTCACCCCCTGCATCTCTGGCCTGTACCCCAGCTCTTGTATGCATAAATAAACACATTTTTTAAAAAATCCCATTTGGTCCTGATGTGTGATCTTATTAATGTATTATTATTGGTTTCAGTTTGCTAAGGATTTTTGCCTCTATATTCATCAGGGATATTGGTCTATAGTTTTCTTTGTAATGTCCTTGTCTGCTTTTGGCATCACAGTAATGTTGGCTCATAAAATGGTTGGAAGCATTTCCTCTTCTTCAGTTTTTTGGAGAGCTTGAAGATAGGTATTTGTCTTTGAAAGTTTGATAGAATTCACTGGTGTAACTGTCTGGTTCTGACTTTTGGATTTTGGGAGATTTCTGATTACTGTTTCAATTTCCTTGCTTTTAATTGGTCTGTTCAAGCCTTCTATTTCTCCTTAATTTAGTCTTAAAAGGACCTGTGCTTCTAAAAAATTATCCATTTCTGTTAGGCCATCCAATTTATTGGCATAAAGAAGTTCTTGATTGTCTCATGATCCTCTGTATTTTTGAGATGTCTATTGTAACTTCTCCTCTTTCATTTCTGATTCTATTTATTAGAGTTTTTGCCTTTTTTTAGTGAACCTAGTTAGAGGATTGTCTATTTTGTTTATATTTTCAAAGAATCAACACTTAGTTTTATTGCTCTTTTATACTTTGTGATTTCTATTTATTTATTTCCACTCTTGTTTCTACTGTATCCTTCTTTCTAGTGGCTTTGGCTTCATTTGTTCTTCTTTGTCTATGGCTCCTTAGAGTATAAGGTTCGATTATTTGAGATCTTGTTTCTTGATATATCCTTTCCTCTTAGTATTGCTTTTGCTTCATCCCACAGGTTCTTGTAACTTTCATTGTTTGTCTCCAGGTATTTTTTTAATTTCTCCTTTGTTTTCCTTATTAACCCAATAATCATTCAGTAGCATGTTGACAGACAAACCAGTTTTTTAAATGGGCAAAAGACTTAAATAGATACCGCACCAGAAGATATGTGGATGGCTAATATACACACAAAAAGATGCTCAGTATTGTTAGTCATTAGGGAATGCAAATTAAAGCCATAAGGACATACCAATACCCACTGTTATACTATAATCAAAAAGCACTGTCAAGTGTTGGTGAGAGTGTGGTGAATCAAACTCTCATGCACTGCTATAGAAATTAAAGTGGAATAACCACTTGGAAAGCAGTCAAGCAGTTTCTTTAGAAGTTATTATATGACCCAGCAGTTCTGTTCTAAGAATCTACCTGAGAGAAATAAAAACATATGTCCCCACAAAGATATACATGTGAATATTCATAGCAGCATTGTTCATAATGTTCCAAACTGGGAACAATCCAAATGTTCATCAACTGGTGAGTGGATAAACAAAATGTGGTGTTTCCATGTAATGGGAAACCATTCAAGTGAAAGAAATGAACGGATACAAGCTAGACCTGGAAGAAGTTCAAAAATAATATGCTAACTGAACAAAACCAGATGTGACTGGAAGCGACAGATGGTATCATTCCATTCAGATGAAATGTCTAGAAAAGACAACTTCACAGCATATCATTGGTTGCCTGGGGCTGTAAGTAGAAGCAGGGATTAACTACAGTCAGGCGTGGGGTAGCTTTTTGGAATAATAGAAATGTTCTAGAATTGGATTGTGATGATGTTCGCACAACTTTTTAAGTTACCTGAAATGACTATACAATTACAAAGTGAGTTTTATGGTATTTATAATTCAACAGAGCTGTTGAAATTGAATTGTGATGTCCTACAATAAACTATCAGACTGAAAAGTTTTAATTAAAAAAAAAAGTACTTATAACCTATGGGAAAAAAAGAAACAGTTTGAGATAAATCTGGAAAATTATGTGCAAGAACTATGTACTGGAAACTACATCCAAAAAACATTTTTGAAAAAAAAGTAAAAGATCTAAATAAACAAGTCAATGCTTTCCCAGTGATTTCCTCTCCAAACTGATCTACATGGACTCATGCAGCCTATGGACTCATGCTGTCTTGATCAAGATGCCCAAAAGGCATTTTTGTAGACATTGACAAGCTGATTCTAAAATGCAAATAGGTATGCAGAGAATCAAGAATAACCAAAACATTTGAAGAAACAGAGTGCAGGACTAGAACTGCCTGGGCTTTTAGAATGATTTTGTGATAGATCTTTCACTTTGTAAGTATTTAAATGTATAACCTTTGGCAGTTTCTTGAATACAGCAGTACTGGGCAGTTGTTCAAGAATGTTCCCTGCAGCAGTATTTATGAAAACAGCCCCACCCAGCCCATGAGTGGAAGTTATGTTCAGTTATGCTACCTCATAAAATGGAATACAACATAGCTGTGAACTGTCCCTGGACTGATGGTGTCCAGAGGGTTGGCGGGGCTGGCACGCGATGCCTGTTTAGGTAAATAAAGTTTCACAGCTTGTTTGCTTTCATGCAGAGACAGAGTTAAGCAGTCATGACAGACCTACATGGCCTGCAGGCCTAACATATTTACTCTCTGCTCCTTTGAAAGAAAAGTTGGCAGCCTCTGGTCTAGTTTGTGTATATATTAACATGAGATGTTCAAGAAATAGCATTAGGAGAAAACAGTAAAAAGTATAGTAAAAAGTGTGAACCAGTGTCTCTTCCCCCATCACCCAGCTCTGAGCTGGGGTCCCAGCACTATCCCCAGGCCCCCCAGGGCCAGCCTTATGGGCTTTGGGGCCCCTGCTTGTGTCCTGAGGGGTACACTGGCAGAATTCTGAGAATTTCGGCCCTGAGGCTGGTCTGCCTTGCATGTGGAATGGGTCCTGCTGCCACATCCCCCTGCCAGGGTGAGTACCGGTCCCCTACCTGCCCGCAGTGAAGCAGGTCCCGTTGGCGGCACCGATGGTGGAGAAAGCCACAAAGAGGGGAACCACCCACGAGGCTGGGTAGAGGACACGGTCACCAAACGTCTGGGGAGAGAAGTGGGGTGAGTCCAGGCATCTTGCCCAAGAGAGCAGCTGTACCTGTCCCAGGGGCCCACCCCACGGGGGCCCAGGCTCGAGGCAGGGAAGTGTAGAGAACCACTGAGGAGCCAGCACTGCCTCCGCTCTTCAGTGTCTCCGGATCTTTTGATGGTGACAGAACCCCTTGCTCACCTCTCCCTCTCATCCTTCTTAGCCGCCCCAGCAACCTATGACCCCTCACCTGTCCCCGCAGTCAGTGACCTCGCCATAGCTAGCACTGCATGTCCCACCCTCCTGTCCCTGCCACCCTTCCTTCGGGGCCTGCGCAGTCCCAGCTCAGCTCACGCGGCCTCCAGCACATGGTTGCTTCCACCTTCGCCACTGGCCCTCGCACCAGTCCCTTTGATCCTCCTGTCCCTCCTTCTCCGGCCTGGCTTCCCTCCCACAATCTATTTTTATGACTCCCTCCTTCAGCAATTTTTGCACTTTATCTCCCCCATACTTGCCTGTCAAAGCCCCACCCTGACTGAGCCAGCCCTGCTCCAGCCACACCCTGTGCTAGCTCCAGGGTGCTGGGCCCTGGCAGAGAGGGGCTGCCACCCTATATTGCAAGGTCTTGGGTAATGCCCTAACCTGTTCTCTCTGCCCCTCTCCTGTGCGGGCACTTCTACCGGAGCCACAGTCCGGCCGCCCCCTTCCCACGGCCCCCCTCCCACGGCCACCGGCGCGCACCACGGCCACCGCCTGGGACTGCAGGAGCTCCGTCGCCGTCATCACGGTGAAGTAGGACACGTTCATGAGTATGTAGCACACTGTCACCAGGGGAATCCCGACGACGATGGCCAGCGGCAGGTTCCTGGATGGGGCAGGCCAGGGTCCGTTCATGGCACCCGAGTGAGACACTCAAGATTGCGTCATCCCACCCTCCCCCAACCCTGGGCAGCCCTCCCCCTGCTCCCTGGGGGCCCCGGGGTGGCAGCGGCCCCTCCTGAGGCCCACCCAGCAACACTGGACTTGGGGACAGCAGAGTCCCAGCATGGACACGTGACAGTGTCAAGTCAGGAGAAACTGCCCCTCTCGCAGACGCCAGGGCGAGTAGAAGCGCTTGCAAAGCAAAACTAAGCCAGAGAGCATGTTCCTTCCTCTCAACGACTCCCCACCACCCAGAACCAAACCAGGAGGTATGTAGACACGAGAAACCACGAAAGGGTCACAGGCGGTGAGGGGAAGCGGCTCCTTTTGCTCAGCAGGCCAGCAGCAGCCTGTCCCGGTCCCGGTGTCTTACCTGAAAGGGTTTTTCAGTTCCTCCGTGATATAATTGAGCTGATTCCTAGAGAGAGAAAAGTGAATTAACAACCTTCACTTTCTGCACCACAAACGAATACATGCAGGTTTCATCTTATTTCTCCACCACACAGACAATCCTGCAGCAATTCCAGGGTGGTTTCTTTGAGAAACTCCTGGTGATGGCAGTGACGGTGGCGCAGGGACGTCGGCACACCTGTCAGCCAGTAGGTCTGTGGGCCACCTGACTCTGCTCCAGGTGGGGGTCACAAGTTGCCCAGGAGCTCTGAGAGAAAAAGGACGTTTTTTGGAAACAATGAAATCAGCAGGATTTTGCAGGAGTGAAGCCCAGTGGCTGCGCCCTTCCTACACCAGCAGCCGCCCCGCCAGGCCCAGTATTGTGGATGTTGAAGCCGTAGGGCCTCAGGATACTGCTGGTGGTCGTGTGCCAGGGCCGCCCACCTTCGTCTGGTTTGGCTGAGCCTGCGAGCGTCTGGAGAGGCTTCTGGCACAGGCCTCCCCTGAGGCTGGTGCCCCGAGAGGGACTGGGAAGGGGGTCGGTGTCTCAGTGTCTTGGGGAGAAGGGGGAGGGGGAGGGTGATTAACAAAAGGCAGATATGAAGGGGAATCTCAGGGTCCCACAGCCCCAGAAAGAAGTCATTGCTTCCACGCATGTTTAAGTCAAGACAGAGCAGGCGCGGTCCTCTGGCAAGCGCTTACCATCCGTCGTAGGCCCAGAGCCCGTTGTAAAAGGCCAGGCTGATGGCTCCCACGGTCAGTTTTGAGCCCTCAAAAGCATTCTGAAAGTTCCTTGTATTTCCTGTAAGGCAGACAGGGAGGGGTGCCTGTCAGCTCGGGGCTTCCCATCGTCTTGATGATCGAACAGGATGACTGAGGATATTAACCAGGCCCTGAGAAGTCAGGAAACTAGAGTCTTCGGCTGAAGTTCTCGCTTAGGAGCAAAGTCCCCTGAGGAGAAGGAAGGCGTCACCTTGGGCCAGGAGCACGAATCCGCTGATGATGATGATGGCCACAATCACCATCTTGGTCGCTGTGAACACGTTCTGGACGTAGCTCCCCAGCCGCACGCTCATGGCGTTCACCGTGATGATGAACACTGGAAAGGGGGGAGAGGACGGTCTGTGTCAGGTCCGTGAGCTCTGTGCCCCCTCCTTTGGGCCTCCTTCCCCTTCCCAGGCCCCCTGCAACCGTTCTGCCATCCATTCATCCAGATGCACCTCCTGGTGCACCTTTGACATCCAGCTGCGTCTGGAGGGTGATGAGAAGCAGCCAAGAGCCAGCCAAGTGCTGCCCCCGGGGACCACCCGCAGCAGCAGCCTCTCCCTGGACGCCCCTCCCAAGGGTGAGGTTTTATGCCAAGATCAGACACTGCCCTGCTTTTCACTGGTGCCCAGACCCAGATGCACTGGCCACCTGGATGCAGAGGAGCCAAAGCCAAAGTCTCCCCACATCACCTGTGCCAGGTACTTGGGTACTTACAGATGGCAGCGGCTGCCAGGCACTTAACCACCAGCTCAGGGGGCTTGCAGCCCGAGTAGAAGGGCGCGCAGGCATACTCGGAAAAGCTGAGGCAGATGATGGCAAAGGATGTGGGCTTTATGACGAACAGGCTGGTCCAGGAAAAGAGGTAGGCGACGGGAGGGCCGAAGGCCTCCATCAGGTAGGGGTACTCGCCGCCCGACTTGGTGATCATCGTGCCAAGCTCCGCAAAGCACAGGGCACCTGAACACAGGAGGAAGGGGTTGGCCTGGCGCAGGGTGCCCCCTTCCCTCGGGGGCTGCCTGCCAGGGCCCACCATGTTGCTCTCTCCCAGCCCGCCCTGCGTTCTGGCCCTTGGACGCTTCGGCACAGCCCGCTCATGCCTGTTTGCACACAAGCCCTGAAAGGAGGGGAAGGGCGTGCAGCGGCTGCCAGACCAGGGCACAGCTGGCTGCGCGGGTCACCTATCTCCACACTCAACAGGGAGGGTCTCCAGGGAGCAGAATGTCCGTTACCCATTGTCGCGAGGATCCCACAAGCCGCCCATATGATGAGACAGGGCCCCACAGCTTCCGTGTTGCTCAGCACAGATTTGGGGGAAATGAAGATTCCAGAGCCGATGATGCTGCCCACGATGAAGCAGATGCCGCTGAAAAGGCCCAGCTGAGAGGCGGAGGAGGAAGAGGAGAGTCAGTGCTGCCACGGGACCCGGCCCTATGGCCCGGGCCTGCCCCGCCCCCTTGGGTGCAGCCATAGCGGCCCCTTGTCAAGCCACGTCCCCTGTTTCACCCAGGGCTGTGGCAAGGCTAACAGCGGAGCTCTGTTTCTGGGCCTTCACAGCAGCGTCCGGAGTCAGGTAGCCGTGATCACACCCATTATACAGAGGAGGCCATGGAGGCTCAGAAAGGATGTGGCTGCCCCGTGTGATGCTGCAGCGCACTGGACCTGGTCAGGACTCACTCCCACCTACCTCCCACCCTGGACATAGGGCCTGGATGGTAAAGGCTGAATTAGCAAATAGTCACCAAGAAAGGCCTTGGGACACAGCTTCACAGGGCAGGGTGGAAGGGAGAGTCTCCCCCAAAGCTGCAATCAGGGTCAGGCGCTGAGACCCCAGTCAGAGATGTCCCTGGGGTGAGCCATGGAGGCCCCAGGGGCAGACACACGTGGGGCTGTGGACGTTCTCCGATGCTGTTTTGCAGGGTATGAGCTTCCTACTGACAAGACAGTTCAGACACACACTGTCTGATTGCACCTCTGTGAAGTTCAAAAACAGGCAAACCTAACCTCCAGGGGGAGAACTCAGCCTGGGGGCCTGCCTGGAAAGGGTGCTTTCCGGGGTGATTGCTTTGTTAGAACTCAGAAAACTAAAGATCTGCACATTTCATGTATTTAAATTATACATGAATCAAGAAAAACAATTTTATTAAGGAATAAAATGTCCAGCATGGTCTCCTATTGGCCTGGGTCCTGGCCCCCTGAGGCAGCTGGCACTGCATGTCTGGATACACAGAGTGAGGAGGGGCGGGGCAGTGTCTGTGGGTCTCAGGCCCAAGCCCAGCGCTATGACGGTCCCCAGCTTTCCTTCTCTAAGGCAGGGGTTCACTCATGAAGCTCCCAGCCCACAGTCAAACCATGCCATGCCTCAAATACCACCTGCTGCTAGTAAGAGGTGCTCCCCAAAGCCCCACCCACCCATCCTGCCCTGGAAGCTCCCTGAAGCCCCATCCCCATCACTAGAGCTGTTCAACCCTAAGCGAGACAGATATTTGGGGGAGATGCTATAGAGCGTCCTCTCTGCTCATCTGCACCCCTGGGGCCTGAAGCTTGTCCTCCAGCAGCAGAGCTTGGAACCCCATACCCAACTCATCCCTAAGCTCCCCTTCTTGCAGGCCCATGTCAGCCCCATCTTCACGCATGCTCTGCTCCCATCCTAGGCTATAGGCCCCTGCAAACCATCCCTTACAACATCCCAAACCCAAGGGGTCTTCTGTTTCACACCTGTGCATTTGACACCCTAGCTTACTCTCTAAGACAATCATTTTCCCCATCACTAGAGCTGTCCAGCCCTAAGTGAGGCAGATATTTGAGGAAGATGCTATAGAGGGTCTATAGAGGGTCCTCTCTGAACCCCTAAAGAGCCTGGCAGTCTGAGCACGGGCCAGCCCCTCTAGATGCTTGCCAAACATGGAGCACACGTGGGGTAGCCACACAAGAATATGCCCACTTCTCTGGCGAGAGGGAAGGAGGTCAATCTAAAGAGATGGGAGCTTCACCAGCCAGAGACCCGTAGCCACACCCCTGCCTGACCCTGGAGACTGGGGGTGGTGGAGGGGTGCTCCGCAGAGAATGCCTCACCTCCTTTTGGAGACTTGTGTTCTTGGGTTCTTCACTCTGCACTGACTTCTCATCTTCTCTCCTTTTTCTCAGGCTTGGCTCCTCCATTCTCTCCCACCTGAAAATTCTAGGAGGCTGCAAGGAGGGCCAGGCCTGGGCTCAGCACATGGTCTAGCAAACCAGATGCCCCAGCACACCACCAGGACTGCTCCAGGCTAGCATGCCAGGCTGGTGGCCACTGACTCCGAAAGCAGGTCATGAGCTTCTGTTCTAGAAAATGTCTATCCCTTAGGGGTCACTTGTACAATCCCAAGAATGACAGTTTGTGGTGATGGCTGACCAGGCCCCAGAATGGTTCTTTCTTCTTAAACCCCCTTCTGCAGACCCCCACCCTCCAGGCCTGAGCCATGCCAGGGGCTACCAACCCCCAGCCTTGAAACTCGGAAGCGTCCCTCTCCGTGGCCCAACTTCATTTCCCCAAAAGTAAATATTTAAAAATGTCCTGAAATATAGAAAACTTAAATAAGGGACCAGGAAAATGAATAACTATAAGAAAGTGAAAATCAGAATCAACAAAAAACTATGAAACAGAGACACTTTTGGGGGGTGGGAGGGGAGGGATTGGGATCAGAAAGGGGGGGTTGCAACTGTATGGGGAATATAAAAATAAAATTTATTATTAAAAAAAAAATTAAATAAATAAATAAAAATGTCCTGAAATGTACTTAGTAGAATCCAGTATAGGATGGAATGTTTTCCATAATTACTCCCCAAGCCCCCCCCCCACACACATACACAATAGATCTGTAACGTAGATGTTTTACCAAGTGATGTCAAGAATGAAAAAAAGCTGAGAACAATCAGGGCAGCTGACTCGGTGGTGACTCATTTCTTGTGCCCCTTCTATAAAGCCCCTCTGCAGCCCGGCCAGGGCCGTGCCAGCCTTCCCATCACCCGGGGGCCTTACCTTCTCCCTTGACCTTGCAGGACCAGGCCGCTGCTCGTGGTGCTGCTCGCCTGCGTCTGACCGGTCGCGCCCTCGGAATGGCCATGTGTTGTGCCCAGGAGTGGAGGAAGCCAGAAGGTACAGAGGTCAACAAAGGTAATTATTAAACACATTTTCTTTTTTCTTTTTTTTTTTTTCCTTTGAGCAATGCAGCTTGGATACACCATACAAAAAGGGGGCGGTGGGCCAGCCAGTTTCTCTTCAAAAATATTTTTATTTTGCTCATTTGTGTCTAGATTCTTTTTTTTTCTTTCTTGACCTAGATTCCCCCAAATCAACTCTATCCAGTAAGAGGAAATCACTAAAGGCTGGAAGCAGAGGTGATAAACTTTGGAACCAGCTGATTTATTACCCTTACAGTGTGTATTCACAAGTATCAGGCAGCACAAAGAGTTAACATTTGAACCTAGCTGGCCAGGCAGGGCCGCTGCTTCCCGACCCACGAAGGAATTTCTGCCCAGAGCCCTTGGTCTGCTGTCCCCTCACTTTTTCCAGGTAGTGGGGTTCAGCACTACCTGGAACTAAAAGAGAGTTTGCAGAGTTCGGACACATCTCAGAGGTCCCGGCAGGTCCCTAAGGCCCAGGTAGGTATCCGGCCCGTGGGCACAGGCCCTGGGTGTGTGGTGTTGCTTGGCCCAGCCCCAACACAGTGGAGGGGAGGCAGCAATGTCATCAACTCCACACTCTCACTTGCTCTCTGGGGAAACTGAGGCCCCAGAGTGAATGGGGCACCAGGCTCCAGAGTTCTGGCCACCTCCACGGGTGTGACTCTCCAGGTCTCCTGGGGCTGCAGCAACAGTCCCTCCCCACCATGACGCAGGAGACAGCTCACCCTTTATCTCAGACAAAGCTTTTTCAGGAAGCATTGTTGTTATCACAGCCTCTCCCCTACAGTTTTGCTTTGGGGTAAATTAAACAACATCCCCATCCCCAGGTGAGAACAAAGGTCATAGTGCAGACCTGGGCGAAGGTCTGAGGGAGCCCTTTGGGGAAGTCGGATGCAGCTGCCTCCTGACTTAGGAGCTTGTCACCTACCTGCTTCACGAGATTCTGCTGCTCTTCAGGGTGCCCCCTCCCCTGCCCACCAGCCCAGAGCCCTGAGCGGGCGGCACGTGTAGGCACGTCCACCCCAAGACAGAGCCTGCCAGCCCCTGACAGAGCCCAAGGGACCCCTAGATACTTGCCAGGGCCGTGGCACAAATGTCAGTTGGTTCACAGATCCCTGCAGAATCCTCCTGGGTGGAGGCTGCCCGCAGAGACTGATACCAGAACAGACACCGATTAGGTAGGCACAGACCCTCTCACCAGATGCCACGTGGCTTCAGGCTATTCGACTTCTCCAAGCATCAAGTTCCAGCTCTATGAGCAGACCCGGGTCAGTCACCCCTCCAGCGGCTGTGATGCGGGCCACAGTTCACGCATTCCCGGCGGCCTCTGGCCTCGTGCACCATTCCTGGTCTTCTTGAAAGTCCGCCAAATGCTGCTTTTGGAACATCTTGAACTTTTGTTGAGATCAGATATCCACTTCAGTTCAATTTTGGTCCTCAGTGAGCATTTTTCTTAAAGCTGTTTCTTTTTCTGCTGTTCCTCAGTCAAGTGAGGGTTAAGCCAGTTATCCTGAGTTAGATTTTTCTGCAGGGAAAAAAAGCATGGATTTGTTTAAAAAATGCATTCACCTCCCGGGCCTCCCTGGTAGTGCACGGGGTTAAGACGCAGCCTGTGAAGCTTCTGCAGCCTCTGCGGTACGAGTTCAAGTCCTGGCCACCCAGGGAGCTACCCACATGGTGCAGCAGACCTCTCCTGTCTCGCCCGCTGCTCCCCTCAGCAGTGTGTTTCAGTCAGTCTGCTTGTTCTGTTCCCCACTCTGTCTCTGGTGGATCCTCTCACCCCACTGACCTATACCCCCGCTCTTGTATGCATAAATAAATAAATCTTTAAAAAAATGCATTCTCCTCCCCCACCCCTCAACCCCAGTTCTTCTGCAGGACCTTTGGTTGCTGGGTGTCCCCTTGGCCACCCCACGGCTGCAGTTCAATCTCAAACAGATACTTTCCTTTGCATTCATTTCCTGGGAAGTTTCGTATTATTTTTTTCATACAACTGCACAATTTCTTCTGTTCCTGCTAAAGCCCCTGACTTCACTTTCCAACTGGGCTTTTTCCATGTTTGCAGTTTGAGGAGTTAAGGTGTTAACCTTGTGCTTCTGATTTCTAAGACATTGGAAACATAGTAGGTTTCCTTCTCCTATAATGTTTTTATTTCTTTATTTCTTATTTTTGCATAGAAGAACTGGGGTGTAGGCCAGAGGTGTGGGGCGAGGGGTGGGGCAGTGAGAGGATTCACCAGAGTCAGAGTAGGGAGCAGAACAGGTGGATCTACTGAAATACACTGCTGAGGGGAGCAACAGGAGAGGTCTGTTGTGCCATATGTGAGTCAGCTCCCTGGCCAGGGATCAAACTCAGGCCGCTGCAGTGAGAGCACTGAGGCTTAACCCCCAGGCCACCAGGGAGGCCCCTCCTGTAATGTTCTTAAAGACTTAGGTAGCTGTGTAAATCATCCCTCCAGGGCCCCTTGGCCTCTGATTCACCTTCTGGGCCCCAGGGGCCAACACCCAGATGTAGGGAGTCTCCCTTTACAACTTGCTCCAGACCTGCCTCCCAGTTTTCAAACCTTCTCTTCCTAAGTTCCCTTGGTCCCACCTCCTTCCCACCACTGCTCATAGTCCCCTGAGCTCTTTGGGGACCAGTAGTGATAGGGTTAAAAATGACCGGGGCCTTGCTGGTGGCACAAGGGTTAAAACAGAACCTATGAAGCTATCCTCAGCCACTGCAACATGAGTTCAATCCCCAGCCAGGGAGCTGATCCACGTGGTGCAGCAGACCTCTCCTGCCTCGCCCACTGCTCCCCTCAGCAGTGTATTTCAGTCAGCCTGCCTGTTATGTTTTCCACTTGGTCTCTGGTGAATCCTCTCACCCCCTGCATCTCTGTCCTGTACCCCAGCTCTTGTATGCATAAATAAATAAATCTTTAAAAAAAAAAGTATATCCAGCTTTTTGCATGTTGCTTGCCATATAGTAGATGCTTAATTAACATCACTTTGCAGCATTACATTGTAAAAACCCTCCTTGACCCTCCAGAGTTATAATCCTTCCCTGCTTGGTATTACAGAGGGAGACTTGTCTCTGTGGCTATGTGCATGGGCTCGACAGGAACCCTGAGGTTCAGATCCTGGCTCTTAGGACTTTGGGCAAGTTACTCTATGTCTGAGAAATTCACCTGTAAAATGGAGATGCTAATAATAGGAATACTACCTACTTTAGAGGCTAGCAGAGGATGATAGTTAATCAATATACCTGTAAAAACAGAAGTGCCTGATATATAGAAAATTGGCTATTTTTACTATATCTGTAATTGTTTCATTAGTTCCTACATCACTACATTTTATAATTGTTTTCATGTCTGTCACTTTCCAGACTATGCATGAGATCATTGCTTCCTTCACTATGACACTAAGTAAAATCAACTGAACTTGGTCTATTACATAGTATTCGGCTATGAGAGGTATGTGAATAACAAATCATCAAAATCTGATTTTTTTTTCAGTTTGAGGAAAGGAAAAAGAGAAATCAAAGAGCAGAAGTAGGAATACCTGGAGAGAAAATTCCACTGAGCATTTGGAAGTATATCGTCTTTATCATTCTAGTTAGAGATTTACCTTTGTAAAGGAATGAATTAGGCCTTTTCTCTATGCAATTCCAGCTTTGAAAGTTCTGGCTGATGTAATTAAAACAAGAAACAGGAGCCTCCCTGGTGGCGCAAGGGGTGAAGATGCAGCCTATGAAGCTATCCGCAGCCACTGAAGCATGAGTTCGATCCCCAGTCAGGGAGCTACCCACATGGCACAGCAGACCTTTCCTGACTTGCCCACTGCTCCCCTTAGCAGTGTATTTCAGTCAATCCTCCAGTTTCCCACTCTGTTTCTGGTGAATCCTCTCACCCCCAACACCTCTGGTCTGTACCCCAGTTCTTGTATGCATAAATAAATAAATCTTTAAAAATAAATGAAAAATAAAACAGGAGACAGTACTTTAATTTCCCTTTTTAATATTCTGTACTTTCCAAATGTTTATGCATTAATGAAAAGGTATTTTTTCTTTTTTAATCACAAAACAATTTTTGAAGACATTTTTCCACTTTGGCCTTCTTCATCCCATCATTTTCACTGTTTCCAAGATTTGTGGCCCCAAAATAGTTTACATTAGAATCCTGGGTACAGGAAGTGGTGTTACAGGGCAGGGAGAGGGGCACCCCAGACCCCACAAACCTGCCTACTCTAAATGGGTTCTGCCATCCGCCGCATCAACACAAAACATAGGAGACTTTAATGGGAAGGAACTTTAATAAAACTAGGAAACAATACAGGTAAGGCAAAGAGTCTAGTGTCTAAACCCAGCACCCAAAGTCACCCGTCCCCTCGTGGGGAAAAGTCCATCCAGGGCCTCCCCGGTGGCGCAGCAGTTGAGCGCTGGGTTGCGAAGCTGCCCGCTGCCTCTGCAGTGCCGTTTCGATCCCCGGCTGCTCCCCGGCCACCGGAGGAGGGTCCCACATGGCACGCAGACCTCTCCTGCCGCCCGCTGCTCCCCTCAGCAGTGTACTTCGGTCCTTCTGCCTGCTCTGCTCCCCGCTCTGGCTCTGGTGAATTCTCTCACCCTCCCGCGCTTCTGACTGTACCCAGTGCTTGTATAAATAAATAAATAAATCTTTAAAAAAAAAAAAAAAAAAGATGAATACTTTAAAAAAAAAAAAAAGTCCATCCAAATGGGGCTGGCCCAGAGCAAGGCCCCAAAGCCTGCCCCAAGTCGAAAGCATCTTCCAGAGGGGACCCTCAGAAAAGGATCAGAAACAACCAGACAAGTCTGGAGGGAAAGGAGCAAACTCAACATCAAGACAAAACCCGCCATTGTCACCTCCCCACGGGTCTCTCACCCACGTCTGTGTCACCCAGTCCACCACCCAAAGGCAAGTGTAGTTTCTTCACATGTCTCTAGGCTCCATGCGCCTCCTCCAGGTCTCCTTCTGGCTCCATCCTGCTTCC